GCATTCGACAAGGTTCCTCATAGTAGACAGGTTAGCAAGGTTAGATCACATGGAATAGAGGGAAAACTAGCTATTTGGACACAGAACTGGCTTGAAGGTAAAAGACAGAGTAGTGGTGGAGGGTTGTTTTTCAGACTAGAAGCCTGTGACCAGCGGTATGCCAAAAGGATCGGTGCTGGGTCCATTGCTTTTCGTCATTCATATAAATGATCTGGATGTGAACGTAGGAGGTATGGTTAGTAAGTTTGCACCTGACACCAAAATTAGAGGTGTTGTGGACAGCAAAGAAGGTTATTTCAGAGAACAACAGGATCTTGATCAGATGGTCTAATGGGCTAAGGAATGGCAGATGGAATTTAATTTTGAGGCACTGCATTTTGGAAAGGTAATTCAGGCAGGACTTATTCACTTAATAATAAGGTCCTAGAGAGTGTTGTTGAACAAAGACACCTTGGAGTGCAGGTTCATAGTTCCTTGAAAGAGGAGTCATAGATAGATAGATAGATAGAATAGTGAAGGCGGCATTTGGTATGCTTTCTTTAATGTTCAGTGCATCGAGTAAAGGATTTGGGAGGTCACACTGCGGCTCTACAGGGCATTGGTTAGGCCATTTTTGGAATATTGTGTGCAACTTTGGTCTCCCTGCTTTTGGAAAGCTGTTGTGAAACTTAGAAAGGGTTCAGAAATGATTTACAAAGATGTTGCCAGGGTTAGAGGGTTTGAGCTATAGGGAGAAACTGAATAGGCTAGGGCTACTTTCCCTGGAATGTCGGAGGCTTGGTGGGGGTGACCTTATAGAGGTTTATAAAACCATGAGGGGCATGGATAGGGTAAATAGTCAAGGTATTTTCCCTGGGGCGGGGGTGTCAAAAACTAGAGTGCATAAGTTTAAGGTGAGAGAGGAATGATTTAAAAAGGGACCTGAGGGGCAACTTTTTCATGCAGAGGGTGGTGCACGTATGGAATCAGTTGCCAGAGGGAACTGGTTGAGGCTGGAACAATTATAATATTTAAAAGGCATCTGGATGGGTATATGAATAGGAAAGGTTTAGAGGGATATAAGCCAAATGCTGACAAATGGGACTAGATTCATTTAGGATATTTGGTCGGCAAGGACGAGTTGGACTGAAAGGTCTGTTTCTATGCTGTACATCGCTATGACTCCAAAGAAGAATTTTTTTCAGGATCTCAAGTCAACTGACTATTCATCATGTGAATCGCCACCACACAATTTTGTCCCCATCTGATATCCACATACTTGCAGCAAAAGGTCATTCAGCTTTATTTGACTCAAAATGGTAAAAGGCAGATCTTAAGCTTTATAAGTATATAAAAGAAATCAATGCTAATTGTGGCAGAATTAGTTAATCGACTGATTCCACTTGTTTGTTAAGAGCCTTCATACAAAAGCAAATAAAAACATTTGTTAAAACAACGCACAGTCTTTTGTGGTGATATCACAGATTGATCTTAAACAGGCTGCAAAGTTTTATTTTGCCAACAAGTTAAATAATTTGGAAAATATAGCAAAGGAGTAGACTGTTCTGCCCAACCAGTCCATGCCAGCATCAATGCTTCACTGAAGCCATCTCCCAGTCTCCAATTACTTACCTGCACCTTTGTAGTTTCCACAGGCTTCCATTGGACTAACGTTACCCCAGCACAGAGCATAAACACAGACACCCACTGCAGCTTGCTGAGTGAGCGGTTCAGCATAAAGACCGTGCACAATGCTGTACTGGGTATCTTTAGTTGATATGTCACCTTCAAAAGAAAATGCAAATATAATTTTAAAAAAAACAGAAATTCTACTCCTTTCTTTCCAATTGGCCCAGCTAAAAAAAACTTGGGCGTGCTAAATTATTTCAGTGATTACCATGCTGAGAGACATTGTAAATTATCAAGTGATCAATTTTTACTTTGAACGTGGATTCTTATAAGTTAGTAATACAAGTTTTGTATTGTTAAGTTGTAAAGGCCTCTGGTTCAAGGTGTGCTGAACGTATCTGGTACATCTTTCAAGTTGGCAGCTGGCCAGTGCAAAGTGGAAAGAGAAACCTGCACCTAAAACCCTGCACAACGTCCCAACAAAAACACAAAGATTACCCAGCAAAACGACAAAGGAGATATACTGGTCTGACTCATCTTGCATACAAGAACCAGAAGTTCAATATGATTGGTATGTTCATCTCCAAATATATTTTATATTTTTAAAAACTGCTCTCTACAACACCCCCCCTCCCCCACAAATCTGAGAACTAAATTCAGGGGCCATTCCATTATTTGATTAGACACCAAATCCATTCCAAAAGTGCCACTGAAGTGCATGGCTAATAGAGATTTTTTTTGCCCACGTGGCCTTTTCCTCTGGGACTACTTAGTTTAAATCTTTGTATTTTGATTTCACAACACCAAGTTTATGTAATGCCCATCCTCCTGTCCTCATCACCAATAATCAAATGCTATCATTTCACAGGCAGTAGCAAAACCTTGTTCCTCACCCTCCCATACACTTCTACTGTGGCATTTGCTATGTACCAGAAAAATACTTGATCAGCTAGACTTCATGTTTGTAGTCTCAGGACTAGACTCCTATGAGGAGCTATTATAAAAGTATTGGTCATACATTAGCATTTTTGCCAAGTTTCCACTGACCATTTGTGACCAAAGACAGAGCTAGTCGTCTGGGCAGGCAGCATCACAGCCAAGTCAGACATAGTTTTCATCCGACATCCTTTAAGCTTCTAGCAAGGGAGCTGTGGCCAACTGCTGCATTCTTGCTGAGACAGGTCTGCATCTGTTCCATTTACATCCCTTTTAAAATCAGAATTGCCAGCACTGTCAACACACTTGGTCTTTAATTACAAAAAAGCATGTCTCTGATTTGTTATGCCATTTTAGAGTAGTTAGTGCAGTTTGCCATGAACACTTTCCACTTGGCATCATTCTGATGTCCTTTCTCATCACCATTTATATTTTTTCAACGTGTCAAACAGTAACATACCATACTTTTCAAAAAATGTAAGACACCCACTTGGCTTGATAATGTCTTCACGACTCATGTATCCAGATATTCATTACCTGATACACTGCTGCATCCAAATTGCTAAGTGCCACAAAAGCCATATTGTTCTGAACAGCATACACTAGAGATGGAACACTGAGCTTCAGCAATTCTTTGGGACTTCTTAGTATATGCTCCTGCAAAGCTGACAGCATCCTACTCAAACTCCCAGAGTCCCTTAGGAAGGAAAAGAATAGAAGCAATGCAACATGTTAAATCATTGTTAGAGAGCAAAATGATACTGCCACAGACCGTCCGGTCACCTCACATCCAGGGGGAAAAAAGGGGATAAAATTTGACTTGGAAAACATATTCTGCAGTATCCCAGCCTCCCTTTGTCAGAGCCCAATCTCAAAACCATGAAAATGCACGTACCAGATAGGGAATGGGTACCTGATTACCACAGGACATGGAATCAAATATTCCATATTTGCTAGTTCAAACACTAAACACCTTGGCGGTTTAGGACCTCTGGGCCCAGCATTTAAAAGTTGGCAACAAATAGAGGACCCTCAGAGGGTAGCCACATCAATAAAAGCAGAAATCCAAAGGCACAGATATTTTCCTTCAAAACAGCCCAAAGACATCCTCTTCCTTCTACTGTAGAAACGAGCCAGGAGACCACCCCCATCCCCATCCCCAGTGTGGTGAAATTTTCCATGTTGGTCAACTTCTACTTACATTCAGGGAGGATGGAAATCCCAGGTTGCTGTGGTTACCCAAACTGAAAACGCTGACCTCTGTTTTATTTACTTGTTGGCCGAGAATTATGAATTAAACAAGGAGACCATGCATGGTGTACCTGCCCAATGTCCCGCACACTGAAATCAGCAATACTTTCAGTATTTTGTCCCATGATTGGAAACAGCAATAAAGTAGGCAAAAGTCTCCGGACCTGCTAAGAATTAGTAACAGTACAAGAAGGAAGCCACAAGCGCCATTACTGGCAAGCAGTATATATTAAACAATAAAGCTGACATTCTCTAAAAGATAAAAAAGGAAAATATGTCTCAAAAAAGTACCTAAAGACACAGGAAAAATCCCTCCTTCACTCCATCCATTCCACATGGCAACCATTCTCTTTCTATTTCTCTTAATAATCAGACAGTTTTAAAAGACCCTCTCCCAAATACACACTTTGAGTGGAATTTCACTGGCTGGTCAATTAATCCCCCAATAACATTGATTAGCTAAAGTTGTTCTTGTGGCCTTGAACTACAAATGCACATTTAGAATGTGTGTACCAGAATGTTAAGTTAAAATAAAGAGACTTTCAAAATCAAATGGGTTTGTCATCACAAACATACGCTACAGAAAAAAAGTGACCACATGACATACAATGCAGCATTTGACCCTTGTTTCACTCCAGATGCACTCAGACTTTAATGCATAAATTAGACAACCTTCCAGTATAATAAAAGAGAAAATGTTGCACTGTGTACAGTAATAAACAGTTTGTTTGATCTACAGGTTCATGAGGACAGAAAAGATCCCAGGCACTACTCAAAGAACAAGTTGTGCCAATATACTGGCTAACATTCTTCTCTTAACCACAGCCAGAAAAACAGATCAACTGGTCGGTTCAGTTTATGGAATCTTTTTGCATATCATAAACATGTCACACTAGCTTACAGTCAGCCACATTAATAATGTGTGCAGGGTAGACATTCTCCTAGAGTTTTGAGTACTTTCTGTCACTACTCAACCACTAAAGGAAATTTAGGACTGCTCAACAAATGTTGGCCTTGCCAAAAGAATTATTAAAAATTATGAGGCACAGCTAAGCTGACTTGGTCTACTGAAATGTTTATAATGACAAGGCAATAGTTTACACAAGTGATTTGCAATAAAGACAATATGACTTTCTTATTCACTAATCAGTCATAAAATAAAACATATGTTTCAAGTTAGCACTAATACAGTGAGTTTCACACCTACCTTATTAACATACCTAAACTCAGAATTAGTTTGATGACTTCAGTGATACAAACAGCAGTGGTTGCAAAATACATCTTTGTTAAGACTGTCCTTGTGTACCGTAATGTTACAGTATAAGTAGCAGCCACAAGCGTCATTACTGACAAGCAGTACACTTTAAACAATAAGCTGACATTCTCTGAAAGATAAAAAAAAGGAAAATATGTCTCAAAAAGACCTAAGAGAAAGAAAACGTCCTAGGACTACTAAAACCAATAAGGAGTGGAAAACATCAGCCAAAATCAGTTTGTTCATTGTGATACCTACAGCATCCCTACGTTTTCTAATAGTTTGCTTATTTTCTCTCCTTCACTCTAGCTATTCCATTCTCTTTCTATTTCTCTTAATAATCAGACAACTTTAAAAGACCCTCTCCCAAACACACACTTCCAAAGCTGAATCACCAAAAAGTTTGTGTCCCCTAAAAAAAATTCCCCCTAAGCTTGTCATCAGGTTTTAGTCCATTTCCCCAGTGCCAGACTTGAATGTTGCCCATGTTTCAGTAATTAAAAAAGTGGTCATTGCATTCAATGTGGTCTGGCCCTAACACACCAGTCTTCCCAAGTTTCTCCATCTTGCACAGCTATATGCACTACAACAAATAGGATGCACATTAAGTGCCTCATGCTGTTTTACCGTGTTAAAAGGCACTGGATAGCAACTTGAGGATCTGGTTTGCTGTGTTCCTCCAGCTCCAGCATCTGCAGTTCTTGCTAGCTCAGATAATAATGCAAACTAGCCTCATTAAAAGTGAGCATGACACTGTAGGACGGTTGTGAAAAAAAGTCAACTAAGGAAATACGCGATTATTACTTCTTCTGGTCTATATGCTATTTCAGTCCCAAAGAAGTCATTATGTTAAAGGCTCTATACTTGTACTTACTGTTATCCCACACAAGCTGAATCTATAAAACTTCAACTTAAAAATCTGGCAAGACTTAGAGCTCTGCCCCTTAGCCATCGTTCAATGTGCAAAGGAGACCCCAAGACTATAACAACAGGCTGTTTACTGTTTCCTCAATGCGGAGTGACTCAGTTTCTTCCTATGCCAGTCCTAAAAATCCATTTGGGAAATCGGGTGCGAAAAATTCAGTCAGCTTCCCGACAAGTCAGCGGTATCACAGCTTCTCGACGGCGCCGTCCAAACCTGTGCATTCGGTTAAAATCCGCGCACAGAAAAAAAAACGTCAACTCTGTTAACTCTAGATAGGGATAACGGCAAGCGGTCACTAACAAGCTCACAGGGTTCAAGCTCACACCAGCTTTTGTTGACAAGGTGGTTTTCAAGGTTTCGCGTCCCAAAATATTTCCGTTCATGTTAATCTCGAAATGAAACATGCGTTTACAAACGGGAGTGCACGAACACGCCAGCTTACCGGTAGCCATCTTCCTGGCTAGCTGAATGCAGTGTGTGGACGAGATTCCGTCCCGGCTCTGAGCCACTACCCCACCGCAATCGAACAAGGCCCAGATCGGAGAACAATCGCGGACGTTCCTTTTCCGAACGCTCCGGGCCACGTTCTACTCCCGCCCACCGCTGCGTGGAGGCAGGGCCGACTCGCGCCATTGGTCTGCACCTTCCAGTCTCTCCGCATCATCGCTGTCTCACGACTCGAGTGCCACTTCGGGCGAAGTTTGAACTTTGAGTGGGCAATTCCCTCGCTCGCCCAGGACTCTCCCATTGACCTGAACACCCCGGAAATGTCTGACAGCCGACTCTAACTGTTCGGTAATCGTGGAAATGACCTCCTCCTCCGGCACTATCTCTACCCGCTTACACAACACCCATTGGCCATTTATCAATCTATGCACTTAACACCAATACCCCAATCAGCCACTACATTACCCACTTGGCATCCTAACCAGCTACCACCCCTACCCATATACTACTCTATCCATTTTCCAAAGTCAGAAGTTGCATGACACCAGGTTATAGTCAGATGACTTCACCCGATGAAAGAGCAGTGCTCTGAAAGCTTGTGATTTCAAATAAACCTGCTGGACTATACCCTGGGTGCCGTGTGACTCTGTCCACCCCAGTCCAACACCGGAATTTTCACATCATGGCTATCCATTTTCCAAATCCACTCAGCACATAATCCACCTATCATCCTAGCCACCTAACACCACACCACCCAATCCATTTACCACCCACTACCCATGTCCCCTCCATGTTACACACCTACCAATCTACTAGGCGGCTACCTGCTTCACAAATATCCTTCAGGGAAGGCTGTCAGCCATCCTTACTTGTTCTAGCCTCCATGTAACTTCAGAAGCACAACAATATGTGGTTTACACTTACCTGCCCTCTCGAATGGCCCAGCTAGTCCATAAGATATAGGAGCAGATTTAGGCCATTCAGCCCATTGTGTCTCTTGTGCCATTTGATCATGGCTGATATGTTTCTCAACCCCTTTCTCCTGCCTTCTCTCCATAAGCCTTGATCCCCTTACTAATCAAGAATCTATCTAACTCTGTCTTAAATACACTCAATGACTTGACCTCCACTGCCTTCTGCAGCAATGAGTTCCACAGATCAACCACCCTCTGGCTGAATAAATTCCTCATCCCAGTTCTAAAGGGTCATCCCTTCACTCTGAGGAAGCCCTCTGATTCTAGTCTCTTTTATTGGTGAAACGTCTTCTCCAAATCCACTCTATCTAGGTTGCTCAGTATTCTGTAAGTTTCAATGAGATCTCCCCTTATCCTTCTAAACTCCATTGAGTACAGACTCAGAGTCCTCAGCCACTTCTCATATGACAAGTCCTGCATCCCTGGGATTATTCTTGTAAACCTCTTTTGGACCGGTTCCGGTGCCAACACAAACTTCCTTGTATACTGGGCCCACTCAAGGGCTATTAGGGATGAACAAAAGTTGGGCTTGCCAGTGACACCCACATCAAATGAAAGAAAAAATAAGAACACATTGCAGGTGTTTAGTCCTCCCTACCCAAACTGACTTACTAAACAATAAAGATTTCTAAATCTGAACAGATTGGGAAGATCTTTATTCAAAGCACAAACGTGGAACAGATGAGGGATTGTATGAAAGTGGAAGTATACCTCTGTCACAAAACTTGTCTGGAAATGTAGGCTTGTAAATAAGCAGCCAACCACAATCAACTGGGAAAGCAGCCTTTAGGACTTATGACTCATCCTCCTTCTCGTAACATCAGGGGTATGTGAAGATTGAAGATATTCCCTTCATGATAATCCTGAAATCAGTTAGCATATCGGCTCCACATTGCATTACAATTAATGTTTTTAAATAATGCATCAGGCAATAACATTATTAATCATAGAATCCCTACAGTGTAGAAACAGGCCACTTGGCCCATCAAGTCACACTGACCCTCTGAAGAGCAACTCACCTACCACCCCCATATTTCCCAAGACTAATCTACCTAATCTGCATCTTTAGACTGTGAAAGATATCCCACATAGACATGGGGAGAATGTGCAAACTCCGCACAGGCAGTCACCTGAGGCTGGAATCAAACCTGGGTCCCTGGAACTGTGAGGCAGCAGTGTTAACCACTGAACCACCATGTGCGAACCTCTGCCATTAACCATCTAAGAGAATTGTATGAAAGGTATCATCAACATGATATAATACAAGGTTGCAATTTGTAAAATGCGTACATAATAAGCTACAATCCATGGATATTTATAAAGAGAGAATATTTTAAAGTTTTTGAGACGAATAGTAAATGTTGGTGCAAGTTCCTAGAATCAGAAAAGCAGAGGAAGTCTCACATATAACTACGTAACATCTTCCATGAGCACAGAACGTTGCAAAGCACTTTGCAACCAATTACCTACCCCTGAAGTGAAGTCACTGCAATGAAAAGGGCAGTTCAGTGGTTAACCCAGGTTCAGTTCCACCCTCAGGTAACTGTCTGTGTGCAGTTTGCATGTTCTATCTGTGTCTGTGTGGGCTTCCACTGGGTGCTCCAGTTTCCTCCCACAGTCCAAAGATGTGTAAGTTAGGTGGATTCACCATGCTAAATTACCCATATTGAGCAGGGGTGTATGTGTTAACCATGGGAAATGTATGATTACAGGGATGAGTCTGAGTAGGGTGCTGTTTGGAGGGTTGCTGTGCACTCATTGGGCCAAATGGCCTGTTTCCACGCTGCAGAGATACTATGGAAACTGGCAGTCCCATTTTTTTCTAAAAGCCTTTTTACTGTAAAGCACCTAAAAGTCTTTCTTGCTTTGAGCAACTATGCCCTTTTCTGAAAAAGAAAACACAAATTGTCTGGTGCTGAAAGCAAGTACTGTTAATAAGGCAATGATTTGAGGAACAGCATGTACAAGAACAGAGCTGTTCCTCCAATCAGATTCTGTCTCTAAGCATTGCTAATATATCCTAAATTCTTCGTTCATTCTTTGACTTCCGTGTCAAATTGGTTTACCAGTGATTCTGCATGGCACTGCCTGTTCCTCATGCTGATTGATCTGGAAAGGTTGTTGAACAGTGCTCTTCATTTATTGTGTATATTTTTTTAATCAACCTTTTCAGATGTGTTATGACATAGCTCCTGAGTGGAATAAACTTGAAACAGGATATTCTGGTTCAGAGGTATGGACACTACCATTGTGCCACAAGAACCAATCATGTTTTATGTGAACAAGAAATTAAAAGGTGATCTTCTATGAACAGATCTGCAGGGTGAGTGTATTTGTGAGGACTCAAAGCTCTTGTCTTGCTTTGAAGTTGTTAATGCCCATCAACCTGGCATGGGTCTGTGCCCAATACATTGACACAGCCTCCAGACCTTTTGGTTTCAGTTGCCAGTAAATAAACATGGTCTCAAACTATGTGCAAGAGCCTTCTCCACAAAGCACTCCAATGCCTGATCTCCTGCTCCTTCATATCCTTGCAAGGTGTGTAACTACAGCACTGTGAATCTCCCTACTGCCCATGGACTGCAGCAATTCAAGAAAACAGTTGATCACCAACCTCTCCAGAGCAATTAGTGATGGCCTGGTCAGTGACACCTACATCCCATGAGGTGGCACACACCAGGGGGTGGAACACTGGCACTGGAGATAGTAAGGGCCAAAGCGGAGAGAGCTATGGACATTGCCAGGTGCCTCACCACAGCAAGTGTGTGAAAGTAAGATGCCCATTCAGGGTGCGCTGGGCTATAAACAGAATCAGGTGAGCATGTTGTGGTGGTGGCGAACTTAGTGGTGGTTATAAGGGGGAATATCTTGGTAGTAGTGAGGGGCAATGGGGAGTGATTTTCAGTGAGTAGTGCTGACCATTTGCTACACCAAGTTTGGCAGCATGTGGAGCATTGGGTGCTGTGGGAATCTCCATCATTGAGGAACTAACAGGGCTCCATGCCTACCTCTCTGAGCATGTCTTGTGTTCCACACAGGTCAATCAGGTCACAATGAACAATCCGAGGAATTCTTCAAACATCAGGAGGAGGGATAGTTTTCCAAGGATATAGAGTCTTGTAAATAAGAGAAGCAAGCACTGAAACAGAGATGAGCACCTTACTAGGTCCATGTGCACTAGTCATTTGTGCACTGGTGAGAGCATAGCATTGCTGTGCAGCAGTAGGTGTGTGACACAGCCGTCTGTGAATAGTATCCCCTTGAGGTGGGGGGGCGGGTGGCAGTGGGTATGGTGAACTTTCTTAAAATTCATTCACAGGATGTGGGCATCACTGGCTAAGCCAGCTTTCATTGCCCATTCCTAACTGTCCAGAGGACATTTAGAGTAAACCACATTGCTGTGGGTCTGAAGTCACACGTAGACAAGGCCAGGTCAGGATGATAGTTTCCTTCCCTAAAGGACATTAGTGAACCAGATGGGGTTTTCCTGATAATCAACAATAGTTTCACTGTCATCAGTAGACTTTTAACTCCAGATTTTTATTGAATTCAACTTCTGCCATCTGCCATGGCAGGATTCAAAACCAAATCATTACCTGGGTCTCCGGATTGTTGGTCTAGCAATAATACCACTGGGCCATTGCCTCCATAATGATGCTTCACTGTGAGGTGAGGAAGGGTCTCTGGAATAACTGGTTGGGGCTCAGTATTTGCAGCATCAATAAGTGTGTGGCCATCTGAGAGAGTACCTGGAGGAAAGAATTGTCAATAAAGGAGAATGTGTAGCAGATAAGCTCGACCGTGCCTTGGCGTCTCGAGTCAATCAGCTTCTCCCAGTGGCCAACCTCTTGAAGTGCCAGATATGTAAGCACCTGGAGTACGAGAACACTGTGCTGCCAGATGCTGCCCCCGGCCACTATTTCTTCCCCTGCTCAAATTTACTCAGTTCCACTCATGACCCTGAAATTTCAGCCCGAGAGGTTCAAAAAAGGTAGGGAAGGAAAGAAAAGAGGTAGGGAAGCAGTATTGATTGAGGGGAATATTGCAGTACTGGAGCAAGAGAATGTACGAGAGGTGTAAAGGCCAGAATCCAGTTGATTCGACATAAGAAACTGGAGAGGGACCATTAAATGGTTTCTGGATGAATCTGAATCCAATTGGTGGGATTTCAATCGACAGATCTGCAAGGAAATTAGTAGAGAATTGCATAAACTATAGAGCAGTTATAATGGAGCACGTGAATTATTTAGTTATACACCGGGATCATGATAGTGTAAAGGGCAGAGTGGGCGAGAAATACATTCTGGAGAATTTTTAGGGGTGATGGTATACTCTTCAATGTCACAATAAATGTAACACAAGTAACAGTCATGAAGCTCAACACGATCCAGAAAAACAGTGCACTTATGTGTGCCATCTGCAAACGCCCCCCCCCTCCGCCCCTGCACCCCACCTCCCCCATGCCTCACACTATTCACCACCAGTGGATCAATGGCTACAATGTGTTCTATGCATAGGATGCTGTGCAGCAGCTCATTAAAGCTTCTTTGATGGTGTCTCCAAGCTCATGCCCTCCATCATCAACAGTGATAAGGGCAATGGTTCACAGGATCATTATAACTGCAAAGATCCCCCGACATCACACACCATCCCAAATATTACCATCCCTTTTATTTAAATCACTGGGTCAAAATTCGCCAGTGCTCGTCTCTTTTTGCCATGGACTACAAAAAATAAGGAACTCAGAAGCAACTTCTTCACCCGAAGGTTATTGAGAATGTGGAATTGACTACCATGGGGAATGATTAAAATGAATAGTAAAGAAGCATTTAAGGGAAAGCCTATAAGGAAGGGATGGTTATGACTGTAGAATTAGGTGAGAAAAAAGTACGCAAGAGCAAGGATAGATGCATAGACTAGTTTGGCCAAATAAATTGTTTCTGTGCCATATATTCCATGTGTATCATCCATAAAATGTCCACCAAACCACTTCCTCAAGGGCAGAAAGCAGCTAGACTTTCCAACCTCCTTTTGCACCATCCAGATACCAAACACATTCTCTGATTAAGCCATTAAATTTATGAGCTACATAAATCTCACTAGAAGGGGCCTCACTATGGAGGAGGCAGATGACCAAAATCCTTAGACAGACCTGCATAACAGCAAGAGGCAGACTCAAGTAGAAGAAACCACAAAGGAAGCTTTGATTTTGGATGACAGTGTCAAACAAATGATCCCACTCCACATCGCTTCTGCTTTTCATTTCTGCTGATGACAAGATAAAATATTTTGATGATAAAAGGAGAAACCTGGGCTGTCAGACCCTATATCTGTTCAAAAGGTATTTGCTTTTACTCTAGATATCAACGAGATAGCAACAACGAGGATATTTTTCCACTAAGTGTGGCATATCTTTATTTAAATTAATACCAATACTTCTCAATATTCCATGTGACCACCATGTGATAAACCCTGCACAAAGGAACCCTAAGAAACCAGTCCACATTCTTTCACATTAAATAAACGGAACAATGGTACAGTTACATAGTTAAAAGTATTTCATACATTTTGAGTAACAGCATAAAACAGATTATCCCAAGTGAGACGCCCATTACTCAACTTTACCAGTTTTCATTTCTGCCTATACTAGAGAGAGCTAGGCCCTTTTCAGGATTCATCTTCTACATTATTCTAAACTAGGCAAGAGTTGCTTCTGCAGAAGATTAACATGGAATTTTAGGTTCAGCAGCTGGTCTAATGAGATAGCTAAACTCCAAATAAACTAGCAGATATGTTCTTTAAAAAACAAATGTACTGTACAGTGGAGCCAGAAGGAGCAACTGTTCTTCCTACCACATTAATATCGTACTCACACCCCTCCTGCTTGATGTTTCCTGTGTTCAGGACTGGTAAACTATATTGGAATGCCCATAGATTTTATTTCAATGGGGCCAGTAATTTAAATTGACCAATTTTTCCTTCAGGTATCTGACTCCAATCATTTCAACATACATTATAAAAGTCTGTTAGGCTCCTGTAATTCTAAAGCTCCTCAAGGGGGTTTGCATTGAATTTAATAGGATCCAGGTTGTGGCTTGTATCTTCAGCATCAAATAGTTCAACCAATTTTATTCAAAGCTTCAAAAATATCTGCAATATTATAACAGGAATTAACATCAAATTATATCTGCTAGAAGCATTATCTTCAGTTACAGCATTTAAAAAATACATTTCAGGGACTTCTTTGTAGTTTAATGCTAAATTTGATCATTAAGACAACATAAATTGGAACGGTTGATTTATTAAGTTCTTTGCCAGGGAGGTTCAGTTTTATGTTTCATCTATTGCTCTTGTCAAATTGTACTTGATCACATGTGTTGGTTCAGTAATGTTTCCTCCACGCAAGCCAGCATAGAAGACCTGTGGTTTTGGCACATTGCTGGAACTCTCTCGTTTTGTTTGTACTGACTGGTCTTTTGGCAGGTAGACTTGGGAAGTGTTGTCTCTTCTCATGTGACTGAGGTTTGTCTGGATATAGCGTGTTACCTTCTGACGCAGGTTTGCCTGGAGAAATCAAAACATTTAAAATGCCATTTTTCTACCAAAAGGGGGTCAACCGCAATCTTGTTAACAATATTTTACATGGAGGCAACATTTGTCTGACAAAAGATCATTTTCAATAGTTTGTAGCTGGTTTTACAATTGATATTCGCCATTGCCCACAGCAGTGCTTATTCCTGCTAACAGCAATGAATATCTATTTGTGTTTTGATAAGCATCAAATGTAAGCCAATCAGGTTTAAGTAAAATACTTATATCCTGGTTCATTAACCTTCTGAGGCACACCTCCTACTGCAGAAGTTGTTTTATAACAGTTGGGCTGCTACAAAATATGACAGAAAAAGTGTGTAAAAAAAAAGCACTAAGGTGCTTGGGAACATTAACAAATTATAGATTTTATTTTATTAGATTTTATTTATTGCCTGCAAAAATAGTAGACTCGCCCACTTTAAGGGCATTTAAATGGTCATTGGATAAACATATGGATGATAATGGAATAGTTTAGGTTAGATGGGCTTCAGATTGGTTTCACAGGTCAGCGCAACATCGAGGGCCAAAGGGCCTGTACTGCGCTGTAATGTTCTATGTTCTATGTTCTATGTTTATTTATTGTTGACCTATGGTATTCCACATAAGACTGGTGGTATGCTATTTAATAAAAGCAGGAGTAGTATCGCAGAAATATATAATATCATCCACTAAGGCCAAACAAATAACTTTGCTGTTAGGCAAAATAGAGTAAAATCTATCCTGAGATTATCTGTTTGATTTGGAAACAGATAATGGAATCTTGCTTGTCGTTTTCAAGTCACACCTGAGAAGTATTCAGTTTTTTAACATTACATCTGTAATAAACTGACATGTGAGTACAATGTAGCTCATCACGTGAACAAAAAAACTAAAGATCTTTAGATGCTGGAAATCATATACAATATCAGAAATCACTGGAAAAACTCAGTGGGTGACAATGATGACAATTTTGACAAGGGGGCCTCCCAAATGTCTACTTCTTCCTGAACTAAGGCTTCCCCACCACAATGGTTGGCAGGTGTGTCTGAGACATCTCCCATACTTCGACTCTCACCCCTTCTCTTGTCTCCCACAACAGCTATAAGGTCCCCCTCATCCTCACCTACCATCCCACCAGAACCAACATCCTGAAGATGATTAGCTGCCATTTCTGCCATGTCCATTGGATGCCACCACCAGAGACCTATTCCCCTCCCCTCCCTTCACAGAGACTGTTCCGTCTGGGACACCTCCTCCACTCCCAACATCTCCCTACATCCCCATGGCACCTTCCCATGCAATTGAAGAAGGTGTAACACCTGCCCATTTACTTCCTCCCTCTTCAGTATCTAAGTGCCCAAACACACCTTCCAGGTAAAACTCAACCTAGTCTACTGCATTCACTGCTCACAATGTGGTTTCCTCTACACTGGGGAAATGAAGCATAGGCTAGATGACCACTTCACAGAACACCTACATTCTGCAAAAAAGACCCTGATCTTCTTGTTGCCTGCCACTTCAAGTCACCACCTTGTTCTTTGGCCAACACTTCTGTCTCAGGCTCGCTACAGTGTTCCAGCGAAGCTCAGCACAAGCCGGAAGAACAGCTCTTCATTTTCTGCTTGGGGACCCTGAAACCTCTGGCATTCCAGATTAAGTTCAACAATTTTAGGGCCTGAGCAGCTTTTCTGATGTCCTTACCACAACCCCACGCCTTGTCATCACATGGGCTGCAATCACAAACAACCCATGATAACAAGGTGTAGAGCTGGATGAACACAGCAGGCCAAGCAGCATCAGAGGAGCAGGAAGGCTGACGTTT